CTCGATTGGGAAACCGATCTGCATAGGTCCGTGATGCCGCGGCAGCATTTTGTAAAGATCCCCGTAAATAAGAACCATGTCCACAAGTTCAGCATTTTCGTAAACATGTGCCATTTTTTATTTGAGCCACGCAACAGACACGACTATTCACTTACGCGTTACCGACTACCGACTGACACTGACTGTATACAACTGAAGAAAATAATTGTAAAAACATCGTTCCAAATTCTTTCGTTTTTTGTTTCCGATGCGATTAACGGATAAGGCGGATTATATCTGTTGTTGCCAAACACGAGCACATAATATTATTATTGAGACAGGGCGGTACTCAAACTTCCAAAGGGCTATAACTTTGTTACTTTAATTTTACCAAAAATGGTAAAGGAAAAAAACATTTCTTTTGACAAGATCTACTTACTGTTAAAATAAATGACTCAACTTCGAAGTCACCCTGTACAAGGACACGGCCAAAATTAAATTTTCTGTGTCGCACATTACGCACCTCGTAGCAACAGTCTTCTCACTAGCTACTTCAGTGATCAACTAAAACATTCAGATTATGATTCCGGCATGTATGTGGTTTCTATTTTATACATATCTAAAGGTGTACATTTTGAATTAATAGTCTTAAAAATTCCGGTCCGGAATTCGGAAAGCTCTTAGGTATCACTCTCACAGATAGATCTGAAAAATTCATAATGTGCAAAAATCAGAACGTGTGTACTGCATAATTAAATTATATGCAATTTCGGACGTTCTGAATTATTAATATGAATTCAGTCTCTGAATTCAGAGAAGTATTCCGGCTGGGTGAGGCCGACCTTACTGATGATTAATTAGTTCCCTCTGATGGTGGGTATCACGTATCTTGAAAAGAGTGACATTATGCCGATTTTGTTGACATTATGTAGGTTTTTCTACAAGATGTTAACTTAACACCTAGTTGTACGTGTTGCCTAAACGTCATGAGGCTTGTTATCAATCTTTGGCTCTGATGTGATGTAAAATCTGCTTCCGAGATGGCATTGCTGGAGGTCTAAGCTGTAAGTTGTATGTGTTGATGATAATTACATTGGGTGCTTGTCTCAAATACACTTAATTTAGATTCAAAGCTAGAAGTTAGTATCCACTTTTTCTTACCCATTCTGGAAGTTACATATACAAATTTGCTGAATTTTAAAAATTAGAGAGACAAGAAATAATTATATTCACTGTACACTGTCGAATTACAAGTCATATACATGCTAACAGTAATTACACACAGCGCAAGCGCGGTGATGACTTCCCGTAATTCTCCTCAGTTTTTCGTAATTTATAACTTTGAACATAACCCCCCTCTTCAGAAAGGACAACATGTAAATAACCCGTCGGGCACAGCCAATAGATATACTTCATTGGCAGCATATTCAGTAATGATTTTCTCACACAGCAAATATCATTGATTATATCCACATGCAGACCAATACACATAATCATCCAGATGCGATCTTGCCATTCAACCAACTTTCTTCTCAGAGATAAAAACTACAGACAAGGACCATTTGGCCTCACAAAACATATGCAACCAATAATGCGTGTAGTTTAGTTGAGTGATTTCTCCTCAGATGGACGTTCACAATGATCCTAGTGAGCAAACGTGGAATGACTGTTTGCCCCCTAAAAACTACCTACTTTGCAAGATGATATAGGTCTTTTTTTGACGTTTTATAGTTTTTTTACGTGATACCCATGCGGGACCGTCTTTCACTTTTAAGAGACACCATGTATCTGTGCTCACAGGTCGATATCCGTTTGTCCGATTTGGTAAAAATCAACACATGTTTGCAAAAATATATATCTAAATATACGTTCAACCAGGCACCGAAACGGCAAAATTCCTATTAAAACTAAAAATAATCAACATATGCAAGCGAGTAGTTTCGGTATCTTAATTGCTTATTTTAATATATTATATTATTTTTAATATATAAACTTTATTGAAAGATTAAGCATATCGCTATTTGAAGAATGCAGGCTTTCACGGCTAATTCTAAAGTAATTTAGGGTTTTCGGGCTGTTGAGCCGTGGTCGGGTTGGATTTGGTCCAGACCTTTCTGCTATTTCTGCGGTAGCCGTCTTCAGTGGGTTTTTTTTTCTATTTGGTGAGGGGTGAATGAGTTTACGCACCATACTATAGCCCGAGCTACGGCGTGTGTGGGACTCCAGGTTGTCTTGAGGAGACCACCTAATACCCACTAAACCCTAACCTCCGCGTGGCCCGACTCATCAGCGTCTCGGTAGGCCATGTGTTGTGCGTGACCTGCGGTCTGCTACAACGTCTCCTCATGTGTTTCAGTCTCTGGGAACGCCGGGTTGGTTCCCTTTACCTCGCACATTCTATCGTTGTCGTTAAGCGATCATTGATAGAGGGTCTGCTAGGTTCTCTTGAAACTCTTGTTTTCGAAAAATCAAGAGTTTCAAGTCCTCTTACCTATATATTGTTCCTGGTCCTGGTCCTGAAGGGTCCTGGTCCTGGTGGGTCCTGGTCGTGGGGGTCCTGGTCCTGGTTGGTCCTGGTCCCGGTGGTTCCTGGTCCTCTGCATCCACGCCGTGGGGGGGGGGGGGGGAAGCAACCGCGGGTTCTCCTAGTCTCCTAGTCAAGGTTCCAGTTAGCGGGTGCCAACTGGGACCTTGGTCTAGGGTACCTGGTCCATGAGGAATCGTAGCTGCTTGTTCGGGTGGTCCTGAGCTTTCTGGAAGGTCTTCTCCGCTTTTTTCTTCATGTACTCGTGTATGGTGTCCTAATGCAGGTCTCTACGCAAGGTTGAGTTTCTTACGTAGGATGGTGCACTGGAGGCGATCCGGAGTAGCTTCATCTCTAGAGCAGCAAGTCGCTTGCGGTAACTGAGGGCAGCATACCCCCAGACCGCGGAGGAGTAAGCGAGCTGAGGTCTGGCGATGGCCTTGATCAGCCGTAGCTTGGTCGCTAGCGGCATCCGGCTGTGTCTACCCAGTAATGGGTAGAGTTGAGCCATGGCTGCTCTGGTCTTTGCGATGACAGCTTCTATGTGGGCTTTCCAGGTGAGGGACTTGTCAAATACGATCCCCAGATATTTGACTTTGTCGCTCCACTGGATATCTTCGTCGAAGATGGATGCTTCGAGAGGTCTTGCAATCCTTCTTCGTTGGATGAAGATTGCCTGCGTCTTCTGGACGTTGATGCGGATTTTCCATTTCACGCACCAGTCCTGGATGTGGTCCAGTTCATCCTGTAGTCTCCTACGGATGATCTCGGGTCGGCGATGCTTGGTGGCTATAGCAGTGTCGTCTGCATATAGGGCCAGCATTGTGTCAGCTGTCTTCGGTACGTCGTGAGTATAGATGTTGTAGAGCAGGGGGGCTAAGGCTGACCCCTGGGGCACGCCTGCTTCCAGCTGTCGTCTTGTTGAGTGACATGTACCAATCTTCACCGTGAACCATCTTTGTGTTAGATAGCTCTGGATCAGTTGGCACATGTTTGTATCGATTCCGGCGGCTTCCATTTTGGCGATGAGTCCATCGTGCCAAACTCGATCGAAGGCTCGTTCCACGTCCAGCAGGACGAGGCCGGTTGCCTCCTGGAGATTGAAGCCGCTGGTGATTTTCTGTCAGTCGTAGCGCTTGGAGTTCCGTGTTGTGGGAGGATCTGAAGCCGAATTGCTCTGGGGGGAGAAGTTGCAGTTCTTCTGCCTGCTTCTCTAGTCGAACGGCGATAGCCTTTTCCACTACTTTGCTCATCGAGGAAGCCAGGCTGATGGGCCGGTAGTTCTGGGGCAACTTCCGGTCCTTGCCTGGCTTGGTGAGCATTATAACCTGGGCGTCCCGCCACCGCCGCGGAAAGTGGTTAAGTCTCAGAGTGGCATTGGCGATGTTGGTGAGCGCAGCAATCCCTTTGGAGGGAAGGTTCTTCAGCATCCTGTTGTTGATGCCGTCCCTTCCGGTGCCTTTCTGACCTTCAACCTGCGGATGATAAGACGGATTTCCTCTGGACTGGAGGGGTGATCCGTCTCCTGGCCAGGTGGTCGACTCCTCATGATTTCGGCTGCGACTTCCACGGCCTCCTCGTGGTTGTCGTCCTCGTCTTCATGGTGATCGGTTAACTAGATGAGCGTGCGGTTTTATAGTCGATCGCCGGACTGAGGACTGAGTTGTCTGGGGGGGTACTCGGGTCTCTTGAATGACGTGACTTTTTCGCTGTGTTTTTCAGAATGGGGAAACACATTTTGTTTAAAGCAAGGCCTTCTTCTTTTCTATTGAAATTATCATTGTGTTTGTAGATTTCAATTGCTTCTCTGTACATTCGGGCTGAGTAGTGGGTGGATGTTGATAGCTTGGTCGAACAGAACATTGTGGCCGTCTTGGAGTGTGTGTTCGGCCACCACTGATTTATCAGTTTGTCCCAGTCGACAGTTTCTTTCATGCTCCTGGATGCGTGTTTGGAAGCTAGGTTTAGTGGTGCCTACGTATACTTTACCAGAGGAACACGGTATTCTGTATACGCCGGCACCGCTCAGGGGGTCCCTAGGGTCCTTTACTGATGTTAGGAGTTGCTGGATTTTATTTCCTATTCTATCCGTGTTGCCTTTAATGGATGGTAGGAAGGAGACTCCCGCAGGTGGTTCCTTGTCTCCTGCCGGCGGTCTGCTTTTTTGTCGTGAAACCTGTTCTATTTGTTCCCTGCGATAGCCGTTTGCTTGTAAAACCATGTTAACATGATCCAGTTCGCCCGGCAGGTATTGAGCCCGAAAAACCTAAATTACATATCGCTATTGTTTGTAACAACCATGCGAATAGCGATGAAGCCTAGATACCGACTGGTATGGATTTTGAAAAGAGGGTAATTAATTTGAAATACAAATAAGGTTGGTACCAAAACCGTACTATGTGGAACATCCGCGTTGATCTAGTGAGTCATTGATATAGTGAGACGTTAAGAAAGAACTCCAGGGTACAACAAATACCTTACGATCGCTAGCCATGTACAAATCTTATTTTTGGATTTTGGTTCCGAGGAACGTTATTTTTCCGATGGCAAATACGTTGGTTTTAGCTTTTGAGACGGTCGAAATATGATGAGACATCATTTAGTCAAAGGTTATGTTTCTCTCTAGGTGGGTGCTTCCAGAATCTCCGAGATGGCTTCTGGCCTTAGGCCGCACGACAGAAGTGATGTCCATTCTAGAAAGCGCCTGCAAGTTCAACGGGAAGAAACTTCCTCCGAACTTGGACAAGCAGTTGCTTCCGGGAGCAAACGATGAACCAGTGGAAAACGTGAGCGTCCTGGACCTGTTCAAGACCGTTCAGATGAGGAAAGGACTCTGTGCTTGTTTTTGATCTGGTTCAGTGTTTATTTAGTATACTATGGACTTGTGCTGAATCTGGGAAATATTGGCGGGAACCTTATGTAAACTCGGTAAGTGAAAGGTGCAGTAAATAATGTAAAGTAGGCAAACTGAAAAGCTAGAATGAACTATAGAGCGATCGATTAGTATGTAATGTCTAATGTAATTATCAGGATTTCCAAAACTATCAAGATTCCAAGATTTCAGATATTTCAAAATTTTTCAAAACTTTCAAAATTCCTAAATCCTAAATTCCTAAATTTCCTAAATTTCCTAAATTTCCTAAATTTCCTAAATTTCCTAAATTTCCTAAATTTCCTAAATTTCCTAAATTTCCGAAATTCCTAATTTCCTAAATTTCCTAAATTCCTAAATTTCCTAAATTTCCTAAATTCCTAAATTTCCTAATTTCCTAAATTTCCTAAATTTCCTAAATTCCTAATTTCCTAAATTTCCTAAATTTCCTAAATTTCCTAATTTCCTAAATTTCCTAAATTTCCTAAATTTCCTAAATTTCCTACATTTCCTGAATTTCCTAAATTTCCTAAATTCCTAAATTTCCTAAATTTCCTAAATTTCCTAAATTTCCTAAATTTCCTAAATTTCCTAAATTTCCCAAATTTCCTAAATTTACTAGATTTACTAAATTTCAGGAGTCAGAAATCTCCAAAAATTTCCAAGATTTAGCAAAATATCCAAAATTTTAAAAATTTCCAAAATTTACTACATTTTAAAAATTTTCTAAATTTCCAAAATTTACAGAATTCACAAAATTTCTAGAATTTCCAGAATTTCCAGAATTTCCAAAATTTCCAGAATTTCCAAAATTTCCAAAATTTCCAAAATATTCGAAATCGAAATTATATAATTTTCAAAAATATGGAGTTTTCAAAATCAGATTTTTCAAATTTTGAATATTACTAAGATTTGAATTCGTTTTCTCTACTCCAGGTTCTCCAAGGCGCCGTCGAGATCCCAGCAGTAGCCATCAGTATCTTCATTCTCCTGAAGGGCGGTCGTCGTTGGCCCTTGTCCCTCACTATGGTGATCTCAGGGATTGCATGCGCCCTTACAGTGCCCATCTACCTGGCCACCGCTGATATGCAATGGTGGTCACCTCTTTGACCATGATCAGCAAATTCTGCGTCAGCTCTTCCAATGCCTATCATGCCAGTATTCACTGCTGAGTTGTATCGAACCACCATAAGGAATATTGGCGTTGGGGCGGCCAAGTGTCCGCAGGGATTGCGTTGATGTTGGTACCGTACTTGTGGAACTTGGTGAGTTGTTTCATCTAAAATTATTACAGCGCGTCCTGATTTCTCCTTTTCCCAAACAAGAGCTTTAAATAGCAAAGCTAATACGAGTATGTAGCGAAACAATAGCTAAAACGTAAAAAGGAAATTGAAAAAGTACCCACTACTCATTTCATAAGAAATTTCGTTCTTCACTGTTTGTTCACTGTTTGTTGCCACTTGATTCAGTGTTTATTCTTCTTCTATCTTTTTGAAGAGCGAGAGGTACCATATTTTCCCAGTGGGACAAATTGTCAGGAACTCCAAGAGTGTAAGAAAAGCATGCTAATTGAATGCACCTGTTTGATTAACTTGATCCATTTATTTTCTTGTTATACATGTTCGTAGCTAACTTTCTCAGAGGGCAGTGTCAAGCAACTTGACGCCATTTTTTAACTGCTTATTGTCTAAAAATAGATCAGATCCTACAGAATTACTTGTTTAGTATTTTATTTTGTACTTATGTTTCAGTCCACTCTCCATGCGAGCGTCCCTATGTCAGTCCTAGCAGTTTTCGGGGTTTTCGGAGGCCTATCAGTCCTTTTCCTCCCGGAAACTGGTGGAGTGAGGCTTATAGACACCATCAAGGAAGAAAAAGAGATCACCAAGATCGCTGACATCGAAACTAACGAAAACAAGAAGAACAACAATTGCTGTACATAGAATTTGCGTACTTACTGAGTGATAACGTAGGTATACAAGGAACTTGAACATTGGGAACAGTTCTGTGAAAGTGAAAAGTGAAACTTCAAAATTGAAGGTTAATTGAAATGACAATGGACTAATTTCTGTGTATAACTTCTAAGAAGTGTGGACATTTAGTTGCTCAGCATAAACGAGATCGTGTGAATCTGTATTTATAGCTCACTACCATAATGGAAGAGAGTGGCACAACTCGTCGTACGCCAGTCTCTCTTCGATTCTGGTCAAATTATCATAACAGAAGACGAATATATGTTTTCATGCCAAAATAAAACTTATTCTCAATCAATTTTTACACATACAAAGTTAAATTGTAGAATATTTTGGAACAAACTACCTACAACTTGAACAACTTAACCAGAATACTCTAATAAAAAGACTAAATAAATGATATCTGTGCCATCCTTTTGTTTATGTTTTATGCTCAACGATGATTCAAACTATAATCAGAACAACAGTAGAATAAGTGTAATGAGTACATCGTTTCCCAAGAGTTTGCAACCCACATGTCATGTTGACAAGATAACAGCAACATGGTCATTGGGCCATTCCTCCATAGATGGCGCTTGCAGCAAGCAAACTGTCGAGCAGTCTGCGGATTATTGGCACAGTTGATTAAATGTATACTTCATATGTGCATACGTATATGTTTGGACTAATATTTAGTCTGTTAGTATTCATGAACAAATAAATTAAGGTTAAAGTAAATGAAAATGTCATGTCACCATTTGACTTTGCAAAATTGCTGTGAACTTTTATAGCGCTTCAGAACGGGCAATGTTTATCTACCTATATTTTTGGCATTTCGAACCTATTTTCAGAGTGCCAAATGTAACGTAATGCAAGTAATCCAAGCGTACAATCTCGTCAGCCGTTCTAGCCTGATATTGTAGTGCTTCTGATGAGAAATTCTGTCCAGATGTGTCTACACGAGTATTTTCAAGATACTCGTATATTCAAGACATAGGTCACTGTCGAACAAAAGTCACAATGGCTAATGTAATTTTAAGAATTTTCAAAATATAAAATTATCCAAAATGCTCACTCCCAATATTTCCAAAATTTCCCAAATTTCCAAAATATTAAAGATTTTAAAAATTTTCAAAATTGTAGCAATTTTCAAATTTTCAAAATTTTCAAAGTTTCAGAAATTCCCAAAGTTTTCAAAATTTCTAAAATTTACAGTACCTATTTTCAAAATTTCCGAAATTTCTCAAATTTACAAAATTTCCAAAATTTTCAAATTTTCCAGTAATTTAAAAATTTTCATAATTTAGGAAATTCCCTACCAAAATTTCTAGGATTTCTAAAATTTCCAAAGTTTCAGAAATTCCCAAAGTTTTCAAAATTTCTAAAATGTACTGTATTTTCAAAATTTCCGAAAATTTTCAAATTTTCCAGTAATTTAAAAATTTTCATAATTTCCGAAATTTCCTACCAACATTTCCAAAATTTCCAAGATTTCCAAGTTTTAAAAATATCCGAAATTCCAAACATTTCTAAAATTTCCAGAATTTTCAAAATTTCCGAAATTTCTCAAATTTCCAAAATCTCGAAAATTTCCAAAATTTTAAAATTTTCCAGTATTTAGAAATTTTCAAAATTCCTGAAATTTCCTACCAAAATTTACAAAATTTACAAAATTCCCAAAATCTCCGAAATTTCTAGGATTTTCAAAATTTTCAAAACTTCCAAAATTTCCAAAGTTTCTAAAATTTGCATAACCTCGAATATTTCCAAAATTTTATAGCTGCATTACTCATTTCTAAAACATGAACAAAAACCAAGAGATCATAGCACCAGCATTAAATCCATAGAGAACAAAGTTCACTTCATACTTATCGATACTTTTCATTCAAAATGCTTCATCATATATTTTCATATTCTTATTTGCCGCGAATGCATTTTATGTTACATAGAGAATCGGCAGACAATCATTGACGTCCCGTACTCAATGTGTACAAACGAGACAGAGAGATAAATGCATACGTTAGAGCGAAAGCGCGAATTTTAATCCACAGACTCGTTGCCCTTGGTGTCAGGCTGTCAGGCACACTTCGTTCGCGCTCTCACTCTAACAAACATGCCCCTCTCTCTCTATCTCTCTCATACACATTAAATGCACGACTTCAATGATTCTCAGCCGATCGTGTATAAGCTGTATGTTGTCCTTGTAAAGTGTATAAATTGTGTAGATATTAGTTGTCCATGTACCTATACTTACATATTTATTTTGTCATAAATAGTTAAGAAGTTAATGTTAACTGTAGGATGTTCAGTATTTTTATGTATAAGGCATCAAATGTCCAGTTAAAATAATCTTTACAGTACTTAATAATTTTAAATGTGTACACTATAACGAATGTCGAAATTATTTGAATATTGTCAATTAATAAATGTGAAATGTACTGCAAAGTCTAGCTTTGTCAACCTTTACTACCCGAGCGCTGACGCTGACAAGAAACGGTAGAAATCTAGAAAAACCCCAGCTGTTCTAAAGGAGAGAAAAAGACTAGGAGGCCTTGAAGGTGTCCTACAATTATTGTAGGAACCTTAGCTACAGAAACCTATTTTTTCATTTGACCCCTGGTACAATATTTGCGACTAGACCACAAATTCCACCAATGAAAAAGAAATATTTGCAACCTAGTAGCAAATTTGACCAATCGGACACAAGTATCATATCTACTTTGTAAATAATATAACCAAATTAAAACAAACATTAATAGCTTAGAAAATTTAAAAATGGATATATCGGTTGTTAATTAGGTGCCGATTACAACAATTCTTTAATTAACTTCAATTGTAAACATGTAAATAAAAAAACTATTTAATTCAATTACTGTATTTTGCGACCTTTGTAATATCAAAGGTGTGTTTAAAAATAGTAAGTTTTTACAATATATGCAGTAAAATTGCGATAATAGCGTGGAAAGGTTATTCCTGATAAAGTGAATTATGATCTCAATTGAATATTGCAGATATCAGCAATAACATGTTACAGTTCTATTCAATGCCCCGGCGCCCTCGGATGTCAAAATCATATTAAAATTCGATTTAAGGCAGCTCCGACGCAGTTGAGTTTCAAGCCATTTACAAGGGTTCGAAACTGACACTCAATTTTTCAATATTTTTGAATGAAATTCATACAGTATGTTCAGAAGATATTGCCGACGGTACTGTAG